GCCCTAACCACCTGGCCATGCCGGGCCAAAAAGCTTAAGTACAGGGTGAAAAGGAATTACCAGCCAATAATAGGTACACAATAAATATTACAGTTGGAACCTCATCGTATTATAAATGGTCATAAATACATCCTTCCTATGTTTATCGAAACATTGCATTAAAAAAAAAACAACAAGCAAACAAGTAAAGAAAAATTTTTCAAAAAAGGAAGTAAATGTAGGGATGGCAAATATCAGTCCTTCAAAAACAATGCAAAAAAAGTTAGTAGGGATGGCATTTGCATCCTCCCAATATAATAGCATAAATAATAATAATTAACATATAGTAATATTTATAACTGGAGGCCCGGTATGGCCAGGTGGTTAGGGCGCTCGACTCGTAATCTGAGGGTCGCGGGTTCGAATCCCCGTCACACCAAACATGCCAACCTCCGCCTTTGTCTGGTCCCAAGTCCAGGCGCGGGGCTAGCTACTCCACCCCGTAAAAACCAACCTGCTACAAGTAACTGCAACAACAACTTTCCGTTGGTGAGGTGTTGTTACGGCCCTATGCTCCACTGGGAATTTACAGGAATAAAAAAAAAATATTTATAACTATTCAATCACAATTTAGTTTAATTTATCCTATTTTTGTCTTTTAACATTCTACTACACTGTGTGCCTATGCTATTATATAGGGATGATTTAAATGTCATCCCTACATTTACTTCCTATTTTGAAAATATTTGTCTTTACTTGTGCTGTTATTAAGTGTGAACAGACTCAGTGTCTTTATCAGCGGTTAGTTTTACATAATCTTCAAGACAGGAGGCTTACTTTACACCAACAAGCAGCAGCGTGAATCGGTCGCCAGAGGTCGTTGTCGACGGCGTCCACCGTTACATTTTGATCCAACAAAAACTCCACTACACTCAAGTAGTCATTGGCTGCCGCTATGTGAAGCTACGAAGACAAAAAAAACAAAAAACTTCTTGTGAAGTTGAAAAATACAAAGAAAACACAGTTATTAATAAAATACTTCTATCACCCGAGTCTATTTTTTTTGAAACAACAACAAAAATGAGTATTGTTATCTAAAGGTAAGGAAAATTATAAACCCGGGAATTTCTGTCAATGAAAATTCACCAGCGAAGTAAATCCCGAGTGTCTGAGCTATTTTCACAAAAGAAAGTATCCCGAGTTATTTCAAAATTATTACCTTCTGAAAATTAGGGAGAAAAATAAAATATTTCTTAAATAACGATTAAAAATATTTACCGCACACTATCTTTTAAGGCAAATCAAGTTTAACGATTCACGCGAAATGTTTTGTAAAACAATCACAAGGGCTTATAGCACAAAATAATAAGTTCAGTAAGGTTATTCAATTAATACCTTCTCCTAATGTAACGAATTTTTGTTATAGTTTCACATTTGTCAAATTCTTTTTTTTTATGAGAAATTAAACAAAAAAAAAACTTACAATATTAGTGTTTTAACGAAAATAGCGTCATGTATATCAAAATAAGTTTGTTTGTTCGTCACAATACTACACAATGGATTATCTGTACTGTGTCCATCGCGGGGATCGAATCCCGATTTTTGGCGTTATAAGACTCAAACTTGTGGGAGAGCATCAAAATGAAACTTTTGTGTTTCTATTCTAAAGTGATTAATGAAACTTTTGTGTTTCTATTCTAAAGTGATTAATGAAACTTTTGTGTTTCTATTCTAAAGTGATTAATGAAACTTTTGTCTATTCTAAAGTGATTAATGAAACTTTTGTGTTTCTATTCTAAAGTGATTAATGAAACTTTTGTCTATTCTAAAGTGATTAATGAAACTTTTGTGTTTCTATTCTAAAGTGATTAATGAAACTTTTGTGTTTCTATTCTAAAGTGATTAATTGATTAATAATTTTTTATATTTTATTCAAAAAGTTAAAGATTAAAAACTCATTTTGATCTTTAACAGAAAGTACTCATCCATTTCATTAACATTATTTTCAGAACAACAGGTTTTCAAGGAGATGTAGGCTTACCGGAGTGGCTCCTTGTTCGTCTCGAAACTCCAGGGATTCGCCTTTTTTTGCAAGATTTTTAAGATCATTTAGCATCTTATTTTCTGGAGCTTTACGGGTTTGGTCGATCATTTCTTGAGTTATGCCTTGAATATGAAACATAATTTTATGATAAGCTGTTAGTGGGACGACCTATGGTTTCAAGAAGACAAACCATCGAAAATAATTCATTATTAAATGTTAAATTATCGTTTTTTTATAACCTGTGTTTAGTATACTTTTTCGTGGTCACAAAAACGTATGCGTACAAACGGTACAACATTTTCATATATCATAAATCCATAGCGATTGGCTTAGGCGTAGTATTTCACACTATAGGAAATTTTGTTTTAGATACACATAAAGTAGAGGAGGAAAAAAGAACAAGAAATAGTTTCAAGTTTCAATAGTCTTATATTCAAAATACACACCAAAACGTTTTAGTATTTTAACTCTATTCGTTACCAAATTTAGAATGGTCCTGTAAATTCGATTAATGGTCCATTATTTGAATAATTGAATGACCTTATTTGTTAATACAATTTCACATCATTACTGTGACTAACTTTAGGTTGCGGGTAGGTTATAAGAGTGACAGTCAATCTCTAAGCGTGGATGATAGGTAGTAGAGTACTGTTGACTGGATGTCTTCTCTCTGGTCAGTAGTAATGATAGGTAGTAGAGTACTGTTGACTGGATGCCTTCTCTTTGGTCAGTAGTTGAAAATAAAGAAAGGTGGCAGATAGCTGTTATTCGTTGTTCATCTTAGAGCAAAGCCATGTAGGCTATCTGCTGTGTTTATCGCCGAGAATCTAACCCCGAATTTTAGCGTTGTAAGTCCGTAAACTTACCGCTGTCCCACCAAGGTAATTTCAAATTTTCCTCGTAGACCAACAAATTTTGTTGTTGTTTGAAAACAAACATTATTTTAACTTTACGCAAAATAATCGCTATGAACAGACCTACCTTGATGTCAGTACAGATTATACTCAAGATTTTGTTATCATAATTTTATTGGTCCCACAAACAGATTGGCATATTCAACCAGCAAATCAGTCTAACAACAAAAAGAGGGAGATTATAACCTCTAGGTATCATAAAACCTGCCAATAACCAACTAATATAGGAAAAATTTAAGTGACATAAAAGGGGAAACAAAGAAGATGCCAATTAACTAATTCCAGAAACTATACACAAAGCTACATGCGTGTATGGGTGAATAATTTTGAAATTTGTAAATGTACACGAAATATTCATCTACCTGAACTAAAAAGAAATGAAACGCCTGGTATGCGAGTACTCCTATGACCTACACACCCAGACTCTATCCAATTTGGAGCTGATAAAATTTCCTTAAATTAGGGTTTGAATCTATCTACACATCTGTATACCGATAGCTTAGTATTTGTTTAATTTCCAATTTGCACTGCATTTTGTAGAGTAACAGTAAACGTGGAAGGATTTTGAAGCATTAGCAAGAAAAATGACTGCAATAGATTGTTAAAACTTACTAGAATAACATAGAAAAGTATATATATATATATATATATATA